AGTTAACATCATCTTCTGCCTCACAGATAAGGGACAGTTGTGCTTGCCTCACTGCTGTGAACTTGAAAATACTGCACAAGATTTAGAAAGTGCAGCTCAGGAGGCTGAGGCAGGAGGATTGCAGGTTTGAAGCCAGCCTCAGCAACTTAGTGAGGCTTTAAGCAACTTCATGAGAACTTGTCTCAAAATAGAAAAATTAAAAGGGCTTGGATGAGGCTCAGTGTGGTATAAAAAAAAAAGATTTAGGAAGTATATCTACAGTATCTATTATAATTTTTGAAGATTTCCCTATTAGTTTATTTGAATATAACTGCCTTGCAAATACTGCTTTAGTCTTACTTAACCTTCTCCATCCCTAAATGGCCTATGGTGCATGCAAATTTCTAACAGGACGTAATTTGGCAAAAAAAAAAAAAAAATGTAGGTAAGTCTCATCCAAAGAAAATTGCCTCTTTGTCAACTTTAATTCATAGAGTTCTAGTATTTTACATTTTAGAGAGCTGTATAAGAAAGATATGTGGGATTGTTAGCTGTGTGACCTTAACCTAGGGGAAAAGGAGAGATACGAGATAAGCTTTCATGTTTATGGAGTCAGGGTGAGTGTGTTCAATGAGAAGAGTCTGACCTTTACGCCTTGGCCTAGATATTTATAATCCTGACAGGGTGTGCAGACTGAGGGAAGAGTAAATTTCCATTCCACTTGAGTGACCCAATTTAATCATTTCACATTCAAATATTGCGTAGTTTCCTGGGTTGTATCATCAAAATTCTTGATCTTTTCCCTTTTTCTTTTCTTTTGACAAACAATTTGTCTTGTAGAGATATTGTTTTAATCCCTTTCATTTCTGCTTTTACAGGAAGGAGAAGCAGATGGAACATTAAAAGAAATCAAGAATAGTCTTGAGCCTACAAGAACAGTCTCCATTGACATGTATGTGATGAAAGACTAGAGCTGTCAGGCAGAAATATAGGGCAGTCTTGTCCCTTTGAATCTGTCACTGGAGGTCAAACATGATGGGCTGGAGAAGTAACTTTTTATTGATTTATAGTAGGACCTTTCATTAATATTCAGTTTGAATGCTATTTAATGTTATAGTCCAAACTGGTGGAGAATAAAAACAATGTTTGGTGCCTTTTTTAGGCTGACTAATGCAGACTAGTCTGTTGTAGGTGTTTCATCTCCATCAGGTAAGAAGTGAAAACAGTCTTGCCCTGCATCAAAAGAAGATATTGCTTCCCAAAGACCCATGTTTTCTAATTTGTTTACCAGTGGACCCATGTTTGCTAATTTGTTTACCAGTGCTGTCTGACTTGGAGCAGGCTGCCCAGCTCCCATAAATGAGATGTATCACTTTTATCTTCCTTGTTCATCCCTAGTTATAAGCCAGAGTGATCAGTGCTGGTGATCCTCTCTAACAATTATTGTTAATGCTAGCAATCACTGTAGGAGTTTCTTGAAAGTGCCCAGGTATCATATCTGCATAGTCTCAAGTTTACCTGAACCAAGTAGATACTGAGAAACAGACAACTTAAATAATGAAAGGGCAATACAGGTTCTTGCTAGATTGAGGATGGCCTCAAACTTGCAGTTCTCCTTAGCGTTCTAAGTAGTTGGGATTACTACAGCCACTGTGTCCAGCACTACATAGATTGTTTTTTTTTTTGTTGTTTGTTTGTTTTGGGGTTTTTTGTGGTACTGGAAATTAAACCAAAGGTCTCACATATGTTAGGCAAGCACTGTACCACTGAGCTACATCCCAAGATTGCCTCATAGACTTTTAAAATATTTTTTCTATAACTTGATGAATGTACATAGATAATGACTTATAAAAGGTGAAAAAAAATTTCCAATCATGTTTCTAAGCCCTTATATCAGAGAGAAAATATTAGACAATATTCTTTCATCAAAAATGGCTGTTGGCATAAGTGAATATTATTCCCTTTTTTAGGTTAAAAATTCTTAAAACTTTTTTCCCAAGTTCTGCTTTTGGTATCAGAAGACTTTCCTGGAAGTATAGGGAAGGAAGAAAATTGTTTGACAATTTCAAGCCACTTCCTCCTCATTCATACCACATGCAAAGATCAGTTCTTCTTTTAAGCCACTGTGCTATTTAAAAAAAAAAACAATAACAACCCTATATTATTTATGATAATCAGAAGGAGTTTGAGATTGATTTAGATTTAGAGTTTGAGCTTTGGAGTCCTAGTAATGGAATTCAATGTTGGTTCTTTATTAGATTTGTGAGCTCCAGTAGTTTACTGAAATAGTGCCTGCCATAGTCATCATAGTCCCTGAATGTTTTTAGAGTGGTAGCCATGGTTTTGTTTGTCATTAGAATGTCTCTATTCAATCATATTTTGAAGGCCAGAAAAATATTTGACAACATTGGCTATATTTCTCTTTGATTACTTGAAACAAAAAGAAAAAAAATGTTTTCTTAAGTAAAAGTGACTTTCTCAGGTTTGGAGAAAGACCAATGTAGTTTATTTGGCTGAGTCCTCTTTGAGACTAGATCTCTGGAAAGCGAGTTTTGGGGTCTTACTTACACAGTGACCATTCAGAAACAGCAAGTTACACTTTAAGGCTAGCTTCTCTGGAGTCTCACTGTCAGTCCCTACACCTTCCCCAGAAAGTAGGAAGGAGCATAGCACTATGGGTCTTGGGACCATCCATATGTCAGTAGATGAGAATTAATTGGAGAATGTTCTGGAAAACAATTTGTTTAAGCTGATCTCAGTTATATTGGGTTACTCTAAGTGTTGGTTTTCATTTTTTCATAAAAAAAACCTTTTAACCTTTATACTGAATGTGGTGGTGGTATCAATAAAGGAGCAAATATGCCAAAGGTGCCAAGAATTATTTGGAATTTGAAGAATTAACTGTGAGCCAGCTCCTGCTTTGCCTAAGGGAAGGAAACCAGAAGGTGGAGAGACTTGAAATTGTGCTCAAAGAAGCCAAAGAAAGGTATGAGATGGCTTGATGTGAAATGTGTATATACTGTTTTTAACAGCTTTATTAAAATATAACTGAGATACCTCACAGTTCTTCCATTTAAAATTTACATTTCAATGTTTTCAGAATATTGTGCAATACTTGGTTTTAGGGTTGTGCAATCATTGCCACAATATAATTTTAGAACATTTTTTCCCTCATACCATACAAGAAATCCAAATCCCATTAGCGTGTCTATACTACCCTTGCCTCCCAGTAATCTGCTTTCTGTCTCTATACATTTTCCAATTCTGAGCATTTCATATAAATGGAATTACAAAATGTGTGATCTTTTGTGATCTCTTATGACTGGCTTCTTTGACCTATCATAGTGATTTTTTTTTCCCTAATACTGGGGGTTGATTCAGAGCCTCACATGTCTCACATATGCTATGCACTATATCCCAGCCCCCAATTATTATTTATTTGTTTGTTTGTTTATTTATTTTTGGAGAAAGAGTCTTGCTAAATTGCCCAGACAGGGTTATCCTCCTGCCTTGGCTCCTGAGTAGCTGGGATTAGAGGTGTGCAATATCATGCCCAGTTAGCATAGTATTTTTGAGGTTCATATACAATGTACCATATATCAGTACTTAATTCCTTACTGTTGCTTGTTTTAGTTAGCTTTTTCACCATTGTGAATAGAAGACCTGACAAGAACAATTTTAGAAGAGGAAAAATTTATTTAGGGGTTCATGGTTTCAGAGATCTCAGTCTATAGAAGACCAGCTCCATTCCTTAGGGCTCCAGATAAGGCATGGTGTAAGAGTGTGGTAAAGATGAGGCTCATATGATTATCAGGAACCAGGGAGAGAGTCTGTACTTGTCAGATACAAAATATATACCCTAAAGCAACACCTCAATTCCCACCTCCTCCAGCTACACCCTATCCACCTTCAGTTACCACTCAGTTGATCCCCCATCAGGGTATTAATTCTCTGATTGGGTTAAGGCCCTCATAACCCAATCATTTCTCCTCTTAACCTTCTTGCATTGTCTCACACGTGAGCTTTTGGGAGACACCTCACATCCAAACCATAACACTGCTGAATAATATTCTACATTGGATATGTGACATTTTTCCATTTATCACTTGATGAACATTTACTGATTAAGAATGCTTCTATGAACACATGGATATAAGTGTTTGCTTGGACATATGTTTTTAATTCTCTGTGGTGTATACCTAGGAAATGGAATTACTAGTCTGTTTAATATTTGAGGAACTACCAAATAATTTCCAAAGAGGCTATACTACTGTGTATTACCACCAGCAGTATATGTATATTCCACTTTCTTCACATCCATATCATTACCTGTCTACCATTTTTATTTTAGCCATCTCAGTAGATGTGAATTGGCATCTCATTGTAGTTTTGATTTCTAATTCCCTAGTGAGAATCTTTTCATGTTTTAATTTTCTTAGGAGAAATAGCTATTCAAATAGACTAGTTATTTATTAAAAGTATTATTTACAAATATTTTCTCTCATTCTGTGTGTTGTTTTTATCCTTCCCTTTTCCCTTTCCATTTTTTTTTCCTTCATGTTACTGAGCTACTGAGGATTGAACTCAGCTCATGCTAGGCAAATATTCTACCACTGTACTAAATTCTCAACCCTTCACTTTCTTGATGATATTATTTGCAGTGCAAGAAAAAAAAATTATATTGATGTGATTTCTCTCTTTTAATCTTGTCATATATGCTTTTAGTATGGTATCTCAGAAATCATTGTCTAACCCAGTATCACTTTACTCTGTGTTCTGAAATTTTTATTGTTTTAGTTTTACAAGTCTGTGGTACATTCTGAATTCATTATTGTGTATGGAGTGATATAGAAGGCTAATTTCATTATGCTCTTGGTTCTGTTTCATTGATCTATATGTCCTTATGCAGGCACACAGTCTTGATTATGAGAGCTTTATAGTAAGTTTTGGAGTCAGTAATATGAGTTTTCCAACTTTGCCCTTTTTAAAGATTGTTTTGGCTATTGTTCTTGGTTACTTGCTATTCTACTTGAGTTTTTTTAAATAACCTTTATTTTATATATTTTTATGTGGTGCTGAGAAGCGAACTCAGTGCATCATGTGTGCTAGGTGAGCACTCTACTGCTAAGCCACAACCCCAGCCCCTCCATTTGAGTTTTAAAATCACCTGGATAAGCCAGGTATGGTGGCACACGCCTGTAATCCCAGTGGCTCAAGAGACTGAGACAGGAGGATCACAAGTTGAAAGCCAGACTCAGCAACATAGCAAGTCCATGAGCAACTCACTCATTAGAGACCCTGTCTCTAAATAAAATAAAAATACAGATCTGAGGATGTGGCTCAGTGTTTCAGTGGTTGAGGGCCCCTGAATCCTATTCCTGGTACCAAAAAAAAAAGAAAAAGAAAAAATCACCTGAATGATTTCTGGGGGGAAAAACAGTCAATTGGGATTTTTTTTAGGGTTTACATTGCATCTATAGATACAGTTTGGGCTGTATTATCATTTTACAATATCCTGACTCATGAGCATGGGATGCTTTTCCATTTATTTTTATCTTCTTTAATTTCTTCCAATAATGTTTTGTACTTTTAATAGTTCAGGGATTTTTGGTTTTGAGTTTTGTTTGTTTTGGGGGAGTTGTTTGTTTTTGCAGTGCTGGTGATTGAATCTAGGGCCTTACACATGCTAGGCAAGTCCTGTTTTGTACTTTTCAATACATCCTGCCTTTTTTTTTTTTTTTGCAAAATTTATTCCCAAATATTTTAGTCTTTTTGATGTTATTGTAAATGGAATAGTTTTCTTATTTTTTGGCTTTCTCATTAGCATTACATAGAAATACAACAAACAATTTTTGTATGTAGATTTTATGTCCTATAGCCTTACTAAAGTCATTTATTAAGTGCTAATTTTTTAGTGGAGTCCTCAGGATTTTTTTTTATTACAGAATCAGACTGTATCATTAGTATATAGAGATAGTTTTGCTTCTTCATTTCTAATCTGAATGCATTTTATTTCTTTTTCTGCCTGACTGCCCTGGCTAGAACTTGTAATGTAGTATTAACTAGAAATGTAGCATCCTTGTTTTGTTCCTAACCCTCAGGGAAAAACTTTCAGTGTGTGTGTGTTTTGGTGGAAGAGTGGTACTGGGGATTGAACCCAGGGCCTGTTGCATGCTCAGCAAATACTCTACCACTGAGCTACACCTCAACTCCAAGCTTGCAATCTTTTACCATTAAATTTCATGTTCGCTATGGGTATTTCATAGATGCCTTTATCAGTTGAGAAGTTCCTTTCTGTTTCTAGTTTGTTGTAATTTTATCATGAAAGGGGTTTGGATTTTTTCAAATGCTTTTTGTGTGTATATGGAGTTGATCATATGGTTTTAGAAAAACCTTTATTACTATAGTATATCATATTAATTGATTTTCAGTTAAACCAACTTTGTATTCCCACTTTGTCATATAATATATAATCCTTTTTATATGTTGCTGGATTCAGTTTGCTAATATATTGTTGAGGACTTTTATTTCTATATATAAGGGATGATAATTCATAGTTTTTTTGAGATATCTTTGTCTAGTTTTGCTCTCGGTTAATATTGATTTCATAGAATGAATTGAAAAATGGTACCTCCTCCTCTGGATGCATACACTTTTAAAAAATATCCAATGAACTTTTTTTATATGGAAATAGCTACAATAATGCTGTTGTAAACAAAATCATTTAGACTAGTTTCAGGGGTACATTTATGTGTCTTAAGCATTTTTAAGTCAGTTAAGTTCTGTTTATAAATATACTTTTTACAATACAAAGTATATAGTGTAAGATGCAGGGGAGGTTATAGTTTTAGAGTTCTTGTGACTGGAATATTTAATCATAATATACTATGGCATAATTAATTCTCTCAAACATTATATGTTGCTTTTTTGTTTTGTTTTGCCTTTGTGGTACTGGGGATGGAACCCAGCGGCACTTTACTACTGGGCTCCATCCCCAGCCTTTTTTTAAAATTTTTTATTTTGAGACAGGATCTGGCTAAGTTGCCCTGGCTGGCCTTGAACTTTTGATTCCCCTTGCTCAGCCTCCTAAGTCTTTGGGATTATAGGAATACATCACCATGCCTGGCTTAATCTTATACTGCAGCACTTTAAGAAACACTTTCCAGAGCTGGGGATGTAGCTCAGTGGTAGAACAGTTGCCTAGCATGTTGAGAGGTCCTAGGTTCAATCCTCCTTTAGGAAAAAAAGAAAGTATTTTGCAGTTGAAACAGTTTAGAATTTTAACTATAAGGAGATCTCTTCTTAAATGTTAAATATAAGTTTTTTTCCCAGATAGAAAAAATAACCTGAAAGGCATGTCAATATTTGTCCAGTGTCTTATTTGGTGATCAACTCTTTTCAAAGGTGAAAAGGGCATGGAGGCATCTAGGTTTTGACCCGACACACTACTATTCAGAAAAGTTCAGAGTTAATGTCTAGGAACGTACTACCTCCATTGTCTTCTTATGAGGAAATATATTCATCCTTTATTTTCAGTAAATCCAAAAACATAGTAAGTAGTACAAATAAAAGCATTCTTTTTATTATTATAGTTGAGTTTTAAAAGAATATGTTCTGTGAATGAGACCTTTAACAGCAATGAGTAATCAGTGTGTTTGTATTTTAAAGGCATATTTTTATTTTTCAAGTTTTATATACCATTCCAAAAAGTCAAGTTTAATAAGCAATTCATCTTTAAACCAATATGATTGGCCTTATTAGTGGAAGTATAAACTTAGGAACTTGCTAGGTATAAATAATGATCTTTCATATGAAATATATATTACCTGCTTTCAAAAAAGTCATAGCTTTCTACCCAGATGCCTAGAGGAATTTATTTCTTCAGATTGTAGGTAATGAGTCAGGCTTGCCTTTGAGATGAAGTCCTTATGCCCCACATGAGCACCCTGTAAAGGTCTCTTTCTCAATAACTCTCAATTTCTGCTTTGTAACCATCTTTCTCTCAATATTTAACAACTGACAAGTCAGTAACTAGCTGCTGAGAATAATGTTCTCTATGTGGGCATAGGATGATTTCTTCCTAGATAAGGTAGGTCTAAAACCAAGGAACAAAATCACTGACACATGAACAACCTGGCTTGATTTTCACACAGTATACACAGATATGATAAAAACACGTGTGCAAGATATAACATGTCCTTTTCTGAAGTAAGTCAATTTTCAAGCATTTTCATTAATCATAGGAAATAGTTGTTCTAAATGTACATACCCTAAAACTTACTCTGAAAATTTTTTAGGTGATTTATGGGGAAAGTGAACAGTAGATTTGTCTACAGTTTTGCCAAGATTAATATTTCATGTAATCTGTGTGTTTCTAAATATACTCTGATAGCCAATAAGAAGCAGGAAATTCTATAGGAAATGTAGCCCTGGAAAATTAAGAGGTGGCCATGAAAAGTCAGCTCGAGGTAAAAAATTTAAGAATGTTGGGGCTGGGGTTATGGCACAGTGGTAGAGCGCTTGCCTAGCATATGTGAGACACTGGGTTTGATCCTCAGCACCACATAAAAATAAGTAAATAAAATAAAGGTTAAAAAATGCCTTAAAAAATTAAGAGGGGCTGGGGTTGTGGCTCAGTGGTAGAGCAGTCACCTAGCACGTGGGGGGTGCTGGGTTCAATCCTCAGCACCACATAAAAATAAATAAATAAAGTTATTGTGTCCAACCACTACAACTAAAAAATAAATATATATATTTTTTTAAATTAAGAAAGCTTGGGGCTGGGATATAGCTCAGTTGGTAGAGTGCTTGCATTGCATGTACAGGCCATGGGTTCAATCCCCAGCACCACAAAAAAAACTTAAGTTGTAACTGAATTATAAGTCAAAACCTGTGTCCTGTGTGAGTGGTGGTGTAAAGGCTACCCTCTTGCCCCCCACCATCTGGTACTTAACCCATTTATTGGGCTTAGCCAGAGACAGCACCTGTACACCAATTAGATTTGGCAAAATTTAACAGAATACAGTGTTATTTTACTTTTTATCATCACTAGGTCCTTATTTAAAAATCAATTTTACATTCATATAATAAATTGTTTTATAAGTTTCTTAAAGAAAGACAACAGTTCTTTGACAAGCCATTCCAGCTACTTTTTCCTTCTTCTTAAACACTTTCAACATATTTACTTGGTTCTGTTGATATTAACTTCATATATTAGGCTGAAATTGTTATTTAAATTTTTTAAACATTTTATACATAATCTATTAATCTCCCACTATGCATGTTGAAGATTTAACTCTCTTACACATCATCAACACCACATAAATATGCTTTTGGATCCCTCCATTTTGTCCTTTCTCTGCCTGTGAAATTGATTATATTGAAATTTAGTTAAGATAATTATTCAGCACGCACACACACACAAAACACACACACACACACACTTCACAGGTGAGCTATATTCTATACCATGACCACTTTTCCTTTTGACAAAACTTTTTTTAACCTCTGTGTATAATTCTTTTTTTGAAAATTTGCTGCTGAGTGTGGTAGCACAAGCCTGTAATCCCATCTCTACTCAGGAGAGTGAGGTAGGAGAATTACAAGTTCAAGGCCAGCCTTAGCAACTTAATGAGACTATCTCAAAATAAAATTTTAAAAAAGGGTTGAGTATGGAGCTCAGTAATAGAGCTCTTGTCTGGCATGCACAAGAACCCAGGTTCAATCTCTTAGCACTGCTTTATTTTTTGCTTAAATCTTAGTCCATTTTCTGCTGCTATGCCAGATTACTATAGATGCTTACATCTTAAACAATGTAAGTTATATGGCTCCTGGTTCTGGAGACTGGGAAGTTCAAGATAGCGGCTGCTTCTGCTGAAGTTCTTCTTACTATGTCATAACATGGAAGAAGGGCAAGCAAGCATGCACAATAGAAAAACAGAGCTACTGTCATTGTTTTATTAGGTTCTCACTCCTGAGCTTAAAGCAGCTTTAATCCATGCATGACTATACTGTTATAGTGCCAATGGCAATTAATCAACATTAAGTTTCAGTTTCAGAGGGTGACTTTCAAACCCTAGCACTGAGTTTCCCCCATGTACTCTCTTCCAATGAGGAAGTCTCTTAATTACTTTAGAAAACATTGATAGCATAGTAGTGTGCTTTTCTTGCAGAATCTTCTCCAAGAGTCTCACGTGGTCACTTCTGGGTCCTGCTGTATTGTAGTCATCTCAACATCTTCCTTTGGCATCATCCTGTGGAATTCCTTCAGCTCTCCAGTGTTGGATCTCATTTCCTTAATCCAGTGCCTTTCTTAATCTTTTACTAAGTAGTGTACACTACATCTCCATACTGAGAATATGAGGAGTATGTTTTCTGAGGTCTACTTATCGAAAAAAATCTCTCTTCCTTTATACTTAATGGATAGTTGGGTTAGATACAGAATTCTAGATTGGACATTATTTTCTTTCCAGTTTTTGAAAGCATCACCTCATTGTATTCTAGCTTCTAGATTTAATGATGAGAAATCTATTGCTACTCTGATCTTTATCTTTTTGTATGAAAACTTTTTGTTTTTCCTCTTCTCTGGAAGTTCTTTGCTTTGTCTCAAGTATTCTGAAATTTCACATGTGCTCTGGGTGTGAGCCTATTTTTTAACCTTGCACCTTTTAATTCTGCAAACTCATGACCTTAACTGAGCAACAACCCCTGCCATTTTAATTTTTTATTTTGAGACAGGGTCTTGCTAAATTGTTCAGGGCCTCGCTAAGTTTCTGAGGCTGGCCTTGAACTTGTAATCCTCCTGCCTCAGTCTCCTGAGCTACTGAGATTATAGATGTATCCTACTACTCCTAGCTGACCTTCATTTCTTGAAAAATAATCTCAAATTAAAGATTATTTCCTAGCCTCAATTTTCTTTTTCCTTTATTTGCCTTCCTAGAACCTACTATTGTTTTATTTTGAATTGGATCTCCTGGACCCATCATCTGATTTTCTTAACTTTTACTCATCTTTGGCATCTCTTTTTCATTTTCCTTTTTCAGTTTTCATTTCTGTTGTATTGGGGAAGTGCTCATGCATGGGTGCACATGTGCACATGCTTGCTTGCTTTTAATGTTCCTTTCTCAATGGCTGCAGTATATTTCCTATGTCTCTGGGGATAGCACCTCCCACCTCCCACTGGCATATTTTACTTTCAGTAGAAAATATTTGTTTTATTTTAAGGTAATCTCGTCTGGAAATCTTGGCTGTTTGATGAGATTTAAGAGTAAGTAAGAATTAGAAGTTACCTGAAGTTTTGTGAGCATCTGGAGGGAGATAAGCTGAGAGGTTCCTGGGGAAACCCCAAGTCTGAAACTTAAAATATTTTCCCTTTCCTGGTCAGATTCTCCTGAGAAGATGCTTCTAACCTCCTGCCTAAAGGACATTTTTCTAGATTCCAGTGTTCTTGAGATGAGTAGGTAAAGAAGGCTGAGGCCTTCAGCTGAATCTATGTAAATCGTTCCCTTTTAAATAGAAGGCCCAATCTCTCTGCATAACTCTTCTGAGTCCAGAATCCTTTGTTTTATCTTCCAACACTTTTTAAACAGGTTCCACCTTTACCACATCCAGAGGTACCCATTACCCCCAACCTTTTTGGAGTTTCCACAGTGTAAATCATATTATTTATTGGCATTCCCTACTGTTGGCTTAGGGTCACCTTCCTGGAATGCTGAGCCTGTTCCCACTTAGTTCTGTGCTTTCTAAATTTTGTTGTTTGCTTTCACCTTCTCTTTGTTCTTATAGTTACATAGGTTTTTGAAAGTCATTTTCATAGCATCTGGGGTAGGAGAAGAATTATATGCACATACTCGACCTCCTATATTTAACCAGTCTCCATGTTTTTCATTTGTACTGGGTTGGCTTTCCTGCGATTATGACTCAGTGTAAAATGGTGCTGTGTCTGTTTGCTAAGGAACTTATAAACTCAGATGGATCCTAAAGGAAAAGTCTTTCCTTCTGCTAGTTTCTTATAAATGAGACAAACACACTCATGGAACACACACACATATCTACATGTGTATACACACACAAGAAATTTTAAAAATCTTTTTGGATAGTTCAGTCACATGAAAACAGGCAGTATTCAAAATGAGTTATTCTTGGCTTTCACTTCTACATATATTCATATCTTAAATCACATCAGTTCTAGGAAGTCTTAGGATGAAAAACAAAACTAATGCTAATACAGTGAATGTAGAGATTTTTGAAAAACCCTGATTCTTTACCCAGATTTTGAAGTGTTCTTTGGAGTGCTTCTGTAATTGCTACTCCTTTTGAGCCAAAAGTAACTTTTTAACATTCTGTAATTTTTCAGAATTTCAGAGTTTGAAAATAAAGCAAATGATCATTCTGAAGTTGAGACTCAGACAGAGGACAGCGAAGAAAAAGAGAATGAAGAGGAGAAAGACACAGAGACTGTGGGTACTAAGATTCCAAGACTGCTGATACAACAAGTGGATAAAAAGTAGTACAGTGGCTGCAATGTGTATTAGCTTTAAAAAAGTGTAGAAATAATATTAATAGTAATTTTTTTATTTCTCTAATATTTCTTGTCCTGGTTTGAGCTTCACTCAGTGTTAATTATAGTGAGATATATTCCGATCAATATTCTACAAAATCACTCCTATACCTTTTCTTGTCTCCTAAATCCTTATGTGAGAAAGCTCACTACATTAAAAAGGAACTTCATCTACTTTATAATGAGATCACTTGAGGATATAACTCAGAAAATTGTAGGATTCAAAGACCCTGGTTGTATGCCTCTAATGGTAGGAACGAAGTAGTTGGAATGAGAAAGGTCCATGTATTCACTATTGTGTGAAACTTAGAGATGTATCTTTCAGTCTGAAGAGTCCTAAATTTAGAGTTAATGAAACCATGAAGTTATGATAGCCACAGTAGTCCATGTGATAGGTACTTATATAAAATAGCCATTTTAACTAATGGACTTATTGTGTTATTATCTTGGGCAAGTTATTTATCAAATGCCCACTGTTGGCCTTATGTTCAAGAGAATCTAGACTATTTGGAAAACAGATGTAGAGACCACTAGTGTGTAACAGCACTCTATTGACAAAAACTAATTCAACTATCTATCTATTACTCATTTACAGACTGCTAGGGAAAAGGCTGTATAACAAAAATGTTGTGCAAACTAGAAACATAAATTAGCAAGGAAATATGTAGATGAATTGATAGACAATAAATAGGGATATGCTTTGATATCTCTATGATCACTGAGCCATATGTAAGATTACTTATTAGTGATAAAAAATCATTATCAGAAGAGCATCGAAATTGATTAATGCTCTATTAGGAAGTAGAATTGTATCCAAAATATTTCTTTTCATGCAAGATATTTGGGGTTGTAATTGTGAAAACTTTATTTATTTACCAGTCAGTCTTATTTCCATACCAGTGGTTGAGATTCTTTTCTCACAAAGAAGTCCATTTAATCTTGTGATAATCAAGTGTGAATGTTTGGTATTTCCTGTATGATAGGTTGGAAGCGAAGTAGAAATGTTGAACCTTCAGGCGATATCGCTGTTTAAGGAGCTTCAAGAGGCTCATACAAAATTGAGTGAAGCCGAGCTGATGAAGAAGAGACTTCA